GGGGGTGGCCGGGGGCATTGGGGACTGTGTGGGGTGTCAAGGCATGGGAGGGCAGAGGGGACGGCTAGAGGATGTCAGGGCATGGGGGACCCTGCAAGGCATGGGAGGGCCATGGAGTAGAGGGGTTGGCTAGGGGGCATTGAGGGGCCATCGGGTGGCTGGGGTCCTTGGGGGGCCTTGTGGTGTCAGGGCATGGGAGGACCACAGAGCAGAGGGGTTGGCTAGGGGGCATTGGGGGGCCTTGGGGTGTCAGGGCATGGGGGGCTGTGGGGCATGGGAGGACTGCAGAGCAGAGGGTTGGCCAGGGGACTGCAGGCCACGCCTGCTGCTCCGTGTGGAGCAGGGGTGCTTTGTGGTGGGGGGGAGGCGAGCTGGTCCTTAGCTCAGTTTCTTCCTTCAGAGCCCAGCGGCCTGTGAGAGTTCTAGAACAGCTCTCCTGTGTTGTCCACACGCCTGCTGATCACTGTGACATCTTGAGGAAAGTCCAGGAGCTGCTAGACGGTTCGGATGGCCTGGTGCAAGGGTGCCGTGGGCAGAGGTGGAATTTATGGCCCTGTCTCCCCACCCCTGCTCCTCACTTTTCATTATACAATCAATGCTTCAAAGAAATGGAAAGACGGAGAGACGAGGACCCATCTTCCAGTATGACTGACGGGACGTTTGATGGCTGCAGACCCAGGGCTTTGATTTGAGGTCGATCTGTGCTCATACAGCTTCCCACCAAATCTTCAAATGGGCTTTCCAGCAGGGGCTGTGTGCTGTGCGAGCCGTCTCCGGTGGGTCTGAACCCCAGGCTGGAGTCCCCTTCTGGGGTGGTGGCAGCTGGCGTCTGTCCCAGGGGAGCTCACCTGCTGGGGAGCAGGCCCTTGACCCAGCGTAGCCAGCTAGGGAGCAGCTTTTGTCTGCATTTTTTCTCTGCCAGGTCGGGTGGTGGGGTGGACGTGCCCAGAAGGTGGCTAAAAGCTTATTTGACTTCAGGAAGCTCAGCGTCGCTGCGTGTCTTCCTTTAACGGTTGTGTTTTACCCACTGCGATGGTGTGAGTGTTGATGTTGGTACAAAGACGTTGTATTGTGCCCTTCACACTCTGTTCACATTTGTAGACTGAAGACCGTGGTGTGTCCTAGATGATACGGGCACTTCAGATCCTCACAAACCTGCGAGACAGGGCACGTGACAGTCCCCAGGGGACAGGAGGTCTGGCTGGTGCTCGAGGGCTCAAGGCACGGGCGTTTCTGAGGTCATGCC